AGCCGGCCACCAGCCGGCTCGGCCCCCACCTGCATCAAAGCCGCTGGCTCTGCCCCGCTCCCTGCCCTCCCAGAGCCTTCCAGCTATTCACACGCTGATATTTTATCGGGAGGTTTTCCTACGATGCCTGTCCCAGCCCCTTTCCTGCGGAGAAGCATCCCACGCTCCCCCTCCTACTGCTGCATCTGCACGCCGGCAGGGCTTTGGTTCCCCTCTCCCCACTGCGATGCTGTTTGGCAATTCACAACCTCAATTAGGTGGAGCAGCAGGATGGTTTTATAGGGATAATCCCCAATTCCATCATTTGCAGGACAAATCCTGCCCATTGCTATGGCCTTGACCGTACCATGCATGGTACCTTGCTGCAGAGCTGGCTGCAGTCCTTGCTCAAGGTCTTACGCAGAGGTCTGACTGTAGGCCAAGTCAGGGGAGCACAAGGGGAGCACAGTGTCTTTCAGTGCTGCAGGAACTTACCACAGTAGGCAAATTTCAGTGAAAGGACACAGCTCTCATGGAGATGCAGCTGGTATTTGTCGGGTTTAGTGTGGTGCAACACTTCCACGTTACTGCTCTCCATCCCCACCGCCAGCCACTCGCCTGTCGGGCAGTATCCCAGTGAGAAGATCTGCAAGGACACACAGAAGACCTCAGGGGTGGAGGTTCGCACTTCCTCCTCGCACCGTCGCAGCTCTCAAAGCCGCCGGGCCGCCGGCAACCCCCCGGTGAGCCAGACGCTACACATCCACCCTCGGTGCCAGCGTGGATCATGGTCTGCCGCTGGTCCTGGGGGCAGGAGACAGGTCCCCACCACGGGTGGCAAAAGCTGAGCATCCAAGGCACAAACAGGACCGTGTGATGGCGAACTAGGGATGGATGCGTCCGGCTAGCGAGGGGAAGCGCACACTTGCTGCCCACTTCTTCCCCAGCTTGGGTGCCACCACAGCTCAACCCAAGCCCAGGCTGCTGAGCCGTCGATGTTGCTTGGCTCTGGCTCTGCCGGAGGCAGAGGATCAATACCAGCGATGCAGCACGAAGCAGGAAGGCTTTATTTTAATATGTCCTGACTTTTTCAGGGAGACATTCAGGCACGTCGATGATGGCACGGGGCTGCGCTGACAGCGTGCTTCTCCGCAGTACTGCACATTTCTCTTGTCTCTGATCCAGGCGCAGTTTAATAAAAATGAAGGCCTGTAGCCCTCTGGTTGAGCTTTGCCCGCAGAGCTGACAGCAAGGCCAACAATTCAAAAGAGAAACGGCCTGATGGGCTGGAAAGGACGTAGCTCAGTCCTCGTAAATCAGTTGTCCCTAGCTGTCGAAACGCCAGGTTCAACAAATCCAGGAGCAAGAAGAAAACAGCTCTGCCCCTGCAGCATGATCCTTTTCCTTGTTCTGAACGAGGCATCCCAGGTTGAAAGGCAGCCTCTTCCAGGGACAGGATTCCCGCCAGGGTATTTATGTATTTGGACGGAAAGTATCTTTCTGGCATTCTCCAGAACAGAAAACTGCATGGAAGGCAGCATGACTAAACCAAGCTCTACGTCGTGGTTACTCGCAGACTGGAAACCGCGATGGCACAGCTTCTGGATGCCCGGCCTCGCAAAGCCATGTGTTAATACCAGGAACCCCTGACCGCCAGTGCCTTGGGGTTAACAGCTGGGGCTCAGCAGGGACCTCCGAAACACTGCTGCATCTCTATACCCTTCACACGTGCTCAGGTTGTTCCCAGCCACAAGGTACTCGTGGAGATGGCTGGCCAGCCTTGAAGAGGTGCGGCAGGATTTGGAGGCACGTGTGCACGTTAAACTCAGAGCTGCGGCATGAGCCCTGGGGACACGGGGACTGCTCCATCCCCACAGAGACAGCCGCATCTGCTACCAGGAGGACACCAGCTCCAGGCTCTGCCCCTCTGCACACAAGCTCTGGGTGGCTTCCCAGGACACCGGTGCCCAGATCCCACAGA